CGTACAAACTCTAGAATCAAAGACAATACCACAAAAGAAACATGCTCGGTCGGCAAAATCTGGAAAAATGCACCCTTATCTGGAAGGAAAATTTTCCTGGATATAATATTTCAAATGACTGAAGGCGATTATACTGGCCTCTTTCATCTCTTTAAAATGAAAGATGATTGCTTGCTTAACACAGAAACTTCGTCCTTTCAGTCAAGTATAATATTTTTCTTATTCCTCCTTTATCTTCAATTTTAATTAACTTTTTTGCCCTAAGTTGGTCCTTAAAATAAACTTGTTTTAGCGGAAGCTTGGCTTGGTCTTGCTTACTTTGTGTTAACATAAAGACCTCTTTTCTTTAAATTGAATTTACTAATTATCTACAATCTCGGAACATAAGGCACCTTTCTCGCCGGTTTAGCCTGTGTAGCATGCTCGGCCTTAGCCGCTCATTATGGCTCACAGGAAACTTGGGACACAAACAACAGGGAAAGGTAAATACCTGACTAATATTTGTTGGCTCTTCTAAATGACGTCGTGACCCCCGCTGTAGTGCTGACGGCCTCTGTGATAGTCGCTGCTGATATGTGCTGCTCGCTGATGAGACGTGGCATAAATCTGCGTAGTGATAAAAAAAAAAAAATAATGAACTGCACATACAACTTCTTCAAATGTTGAAAATAAAACTCCTTTGTTTTCAAAGTTTCTTCTTGAATACAATTTTCTTACAAGAATTTCTTTTATTGCTCGCTGCACATTTTTTATTTAAGTATTTTTCTTTCATTTATTATATAAACGTACATGTATGTATAATACATTTTTTATTCAGTCACTTTTCGGTTTAATACAGTTTATTGAATCCGTATACATATTTATGTAACTTAATTATAAAACTTAGGTATATTTGATCAATTGCCCTGGCTTCATTTCGCTTCCTCTTTATTTTTGTTTATTTCATTTTTGCCTCGTTTGGACATATTTTAAGCTTGATCAATTTTAAAAGAAAGAAACTTTGCTTCTGTTTTCAACTTTAAGAGGAAAAAGCCTTACTTCTGTTTTCAATTTTAAGAGAAAAAGACTTTGCTTTTGCTTTCAATTTTAAGAGGAAAAAACTTTGCTTCTGTATGTGCGTGTACGGCTTTTACTCATCATGAATGCAGGGTTCACACAAAAAAGAAATAAACAGACCAATCGCCCACTTTGGTAAGGTTCACCATGGAAATGTATGATTTAATTACTTGCTGCGACGTGCTACTAGCTTAGACAATTGTTACCATTATGAGGAATCTTTTATGTCACCGCTGAGTTTCTAGACACTAATTGTTGATTTGATTCCTTGAGTGAGCATATTTTTCACTGACGAAATCGCTTCCACACACTTCCTCAAAACTAATATCTTTAATTTTCACAGTGTATTTCTGTACATCTTTAATTTACAGTCTTGGTTTTAAAAGAATGTCTCCATTGTTTCTTTTTACTGCTATATTTATACCGTGTGAGTGCACACAGAAGGTTTTTAATTCGAATCTATTTTCTTTTTATCTTTAATTTTTTCTTTCTTCTTTAAATTTTGATTACAATTACTACAAAATATACGTGAATATGATGAGGATTGCTCCACTCGCTATCTTTGCCCTCATAGAATATTTAACGAACGTAACTATGAAAACTTAGAGCATTTAATGCACACTGCTTCCTCTATTGTGGTTGAACTTTATCAAATCGAAAAAAATCCTTCCCTGTTTTTCTTTTTATGGCTATTTTTTTTCTATTATTCCGTGATTGTTGTTTCTACTATTGTTGTATTCATTAAAGCAATTATTTTTTTTGGTGTATATACCGTATTTGCTTATTTCACTTTTTTACAAACTTTTCAGACTGATTTGTCTGCTTGATTTTTCGTTTGTTTTTTTTCTTTTTTTTGTTGTTTTTGTTATGATATATAAATGAAACTTTTCGAGCAACCCTTTTACTAAGATTCCCTTTTTTTTTCTTTAATTCAATATTTCGTTTGCTATTTAGATTCACTGCTGCAAAACATTTAAATTTTCTTATTCATTAAATAAAGTTGAAGTTAATTGCAATCCCTTCTACACATATTGAACTAATTGCAATAAAAATTTCGCGTAGTCCGCACACTGCTTAATCATTTACTTTAGGCAACCAAACTCAGACTGCCTGTACTCTTCGCATGATCTTTTTCCCTTTTGTTTCTTTTTCTTTATGTTGCTATATAGCGGCTCGCCGCTACTTTTGCAAAAAAGGACAGTATACCGCAAAATCATGCGATGTTGCATAACGGGATGCCGTTATTGCCATACTTTAGGCTGACACGGACCGACCGACACCCTACCGTAAGTTCATTCGCGAACGTTACAAACAATGAAAATTTTTTTTATTGCAAAAATTCCGGGAATAATTTTATTGCTGAATACGACGCTTATCTAATCCTGCAATTTATAGAAAGTCTTATTTTGGAATCGTAGATGTTAAAAAATACCCAAGAAGCTTAACCGACGTTGAAGGCCAACCAGTCGACGTTAAAGATATGCTAATTTGATTGCGACATATAAAATTTTCTACGCGTTCTTCATTTGATGTTCTCGATTGTGTTTGCTTCAGCGCATTAGATTTATACACCAGCATTCAGAGCACATCCCTTTGCCTAAAGATTGCGATCAGAAAAACAACCGACTACCATCAATGGTGCTGCTGTACTGGTGAAGATTTACTAAGTGCGGCGAAAGGTTTCTGAAAGAAATCAAATCAACCTGCTAGTCAATGGTTTTTTCGCAGTATAGGAATATATTCATATCCACTACCGAAAAGAGAACTTTGCTTCCAATAAAACATGATGGATAGTCGTTAAAATGAAGTTTGTTCAAGTCTTACTTGTGTTAAGTTAATTCGAAATTCGCTAAAGGTGTTATAAACCAGGGGCACTCAAACGGAAGCCTATGCCTTCGGGTATTAGGCCGGCTATCAAATCCTGTTCTGCTGATACATATTATATGGTTATAATGGTGCCTCTACATGGCGAATGCGGTTGCCTGCTTTCAATGAGAAATCAATCGTTTGCGTTAATACTGCGAGGTCGTTCTTAAGAAACTTCAAGCGCTGTAGCATGACAAAGCATGAGGATTGGAAGATAATACGTGATGTTGCGAAAGTTGTCGATACAGTATGTACTGAAGGTGGTATTATTCCGACCTCCTCTTAATAACACATATATGAGCTTGAGTTACACCACATTTATTGTATCCCGGCTTATTGAAATCATCAACTTTTAGCGGCTTGGAATCAAAGATAGGTACGGTAAGTTGTTAAATGAATTTATTATTATTACCAATTATTTACCTACACAAAAAAATTCAAAGACTAAAGTCTTAAACCGCGAGCATCTGAGGCTATAGACTTTATTGAAAACTTTACCGCACTTTAGATTTGAACCCGCGACTATTAAGTTGTTAGTCGAGATCAGTTGCCTGCTCGGTCATACAGGCGCGCCGTAATGAATTTCGTTCATTAACACTTCGCAACAAGTCGAACCCGATTGATAATCCAAAGGTGATTATTAAACAAAAAGAACTGAGCGGTTACTTCATAACCGATTCAATGTCGAGGTCTTCGCCCACTGTGGTAAAATTTATAACTGCGAGGCGGTCGTTATTTGTACACATAAAAAATGATTTAAAGAGGCGGCAAGTAAATAACCACAGAGACCATACCAGTGTGAAAAGGATTAACCCATATACTAAGGCATATGAAAATTTATATTACTTAATTTAAGGTTAAATGTTGACTTTGAAATATAAACCAACAATTGACAGTGTTGTAGGTTCAGGGCGATTAAAATGAAAGCTTTTGAAACTTCAAAAACAATAAAATACATATAAAGAAAAATGGGCGAAAACAAGTATTCCAAATAAATTAGTTATACAAAATTGATGGTAAGTTTTAGATGTTGTATAATTAGAGAGAAATTAAATTTTTAATGAAATAAGCTACCTCTCTACGAGGACCATTACTATCAGTATTGAGAAGATCGTATGTTAAAACTTTAAACGATCATCTGATATATTTAAGCTTACAAAGGTAAAAATTAAGCATTCACCCGATTATTTTGTGTTCCATAACGTACATTTGATGCATGCATGTTTATTTGTACACAAATGCATCCACTCATGAGCCTATAAAGCGTCTCAATCTCACAGGGTCTGAAGAGTGACAACACAAGCTGACACCGACAGTGATTTAAAGGAAGGGAATGGATAATTTTATAAGAAACATGATCTTTACTAACAACTGGAATTTCTTTGTAACCATCACTTAACCATTGAGAAATTTTATTTTTAATAATCCGGATTGCTCTTTGGGAGTATATTGGATGGGCAGAAACTTCCCATTGTTTATAGTGAAATCCCTGTTACCTAGCACTCAAGCTAAATGACAATTTTTAATATAAGATTTACTTAACATTTGAAGAATGTCAAAAACGTGTAATGATTAAGGCAGTTATGTTGCCAGCGCATGCAATGAAATTTTTCGACAGTTTTTAGTAACGGGCTTCACGATATACCAAACATTAAGGTCGATTAAGATTGAAGATAATTTTTTACTGTCTTTGAATATGTATATACTGCCGAAAAAGAAACCTAATGCAGGTGCTCACGATAGCATAAAATATGATATGATCAAAGTGAGTTCTAATGGGTGTCATTTTGTCCTTTCGTTTGCAATTACTCAGTATTGGACAATCAATATCAGTCAAAGTGCTTCGCGGCTCATCAACATTTTCTCTGCTCTTTAGCCATGCAAAGATTTAACAGATGTCGACAAAGTGGATAAGTAAGTTGTTATTCTCTTTTTAGATATCAGCCAAGCCTAATATAATAATAAAGCAGTGAAATTTATATTTAAAATAACTAATGAATTTCCGAATTTCCAAGGAATAAAAATCAAGCACACATTAAGTTACAATTTAATAGCGACAACATGCAAATTGGCATGTTAACTATAAAGAAAATATCATATTGGAAACAACATTCAATGACGATCGTAAAGTAAATTCAATGAAGCTCTATATTGGCTAAAGAAATTACGAAAATTGGCTTCATTTTCGTGGTTATCTTCTTGCTCAGTTATTTCCATTTTAACAGCCGTTGGCATTTGCGGGAAATCTTGCGGATGTGCGGGTGCAACCGCTTGTTGAACAGTAGCAGTTGAATAATTTACCTCGTGAGGTCTTGCTTCAACCTCTCTAGGAGTTCTGCTTACCAAGTTTGCATAACTGGTATCTTTAAACTTTATAAATTCGTCCATAGAGATATCAACTTCTGTATCCATACGATTTTGATTAATTTGTGTAACCGTTATGCCTTTTTGCATATAATTTACATTGCCGTGCTCATCGTCTGTCTTGAAAATGGGTTCGAGAGGCGAAGAAAAATTCAAAGGTGGCAAATTGCTTTGGCGTGTAGACGTCGAAGTAGAATCCATGTTCAACGATGAAGCCTCGAAGTACTTTTGAAATTGGGATTTTGGTACTTCATCACGTTCGGAAGACAACACATTTAAGTTAGAAGCGCTAATCAAAAAAAGATCAATTGGGTTCCACTGTTTACATCTTAACTTGCTTAAATCTCAACTTACCCTGATTCACCTATAATTTTCTTAACTTCCATTGAACCGTCCTCATACGTTGGCAAATAATCGCCAAAAAAGTTCATAATTAATTCTTTGCTACATGTGCCGTAATAACCAGCATATTCGGGTCGAAAATCATCGTCTACATGCAATACTGAATCGTGAGGGTTCTCGAACATATCTACCGGCAGTTCAATGACCTCTTCTTCTTCAGCCACGCTGCCACCCTTTCCACTGCCTACACCGCGGTCTAGTTTAGTTTTAATACGACGTTTTTGGGCTGCAAGTTCATCTGAAGCTTGCAATTTCTCTTGCAAAATACGCGTTTCATTTTGAAAGTTTAAAATCGTGTGGAAACGTAACCGACTCTTTTGAATTTTCGATAGGCCACCGTGAAACATAAAGCACAAATCTCCCTTCATACGCTCGGCAGCACGCGTATTAAGAGCATCGAGTGAATTGTGGTCTACAGTTTTATTTTTGCTTTTATTTTGCTCACCGAATATATGATAAGTAGAACGGCGAATTTTGGGTAACAAATCCAAACGATGTCTTTGAAAGTTCTCATTTTTATATTGCAACAATAAATCTTGCCCGGGTTCAGGCGTCGCGTTCAATCGCTCGAATTGAAATTCTTCTAAATGGTCTAAGAAACTTGAACGATTTTTTATATGAAATATGGACCGCGTCGAATTCAGATAGTCCTCTAAAGCTACCAAATCCAATAATACAACTGTGCCATCACGACTCCAGCGTAAAAAATCACAAAAATCCAAATGTATCACTAGCCACAATTTATACGGAAATGGAAAATTCTCAATATCCCGACGTGTAATATACAAAGCTTCCATATTTATTGATATATTGCATCAACAAAAAAATTCTAGAATATGTAGCCGTTGGTAGGGTTAGGAAGAAAAAGTGTTTAACGCAGAAAAAATCCAATTAGAACTTATATTTCCAAACGCAGAATATATTTTACATTTTTTTCTTCTTCTTTTTGAAATTTAAATTGATAAGATTACAAAAGTGTGGGCGCAATCAGGCCTATCTTCTTAGAGTTAAAATGAAAAATATCGTGTTTAAAAAATTCATAGTTGGCATTAGTCATCACGCCAAACAGCTACACAGCACTCATAGCCTTCTCATATATAATTTCAAAGGCCCTCTCGTTAAAAAATTATGAAACAACGGACTCCGAACGAACGAAAATTTCGTACTGATAAGTTCTCATTATTTTGCTCATTGTTTTTGAACTGTAATACAGTACACAATTAAAAATGACGCGGTTTGTTTGGGCTCTCTGACGGAGAGTAATTGCAATTGTATAGTTTATATCCTATACATATATGCCTCAAGTGGTATATGCTAATATAATAAGTAGTTGTTTATCGTTGCATTCTTATTGAAGACTATGTAAAAAAACTATGCATGTATATGCAAACGTATATGTTGTTTTTCCGAAACCTTGTCATAAGATGGTATATTCCATTAGCGACATTCCTAAGATAAAATTATTATATGGTAGTTCAGATTTCTTAAATAAAAGGTAAACAAACGCTATGAGAGCAATAGGCCCACAAAAAACTGAAATAGGTGCCATTACGAGGATGCAATCGCGTAGTTTTCCGTGCCCTCTCAGGGGTAGATTTTGCTTCACATATGAGACGACATTCAGCATTCTTCGATGAGTTTCGGTTTTTCTCTGCTTCATGTATCCCCAGTAACTACGGAATACGCTCATCATGTGTGTCAAGTTAGACCGAAGAAAATTGGGTGACGTTGTGTACCAATTTGCTCTAGAATTGCACATTTTCAAGAAAAATTACCACCACAATCTCCTTTACAAGAAGAAACAAAGGAAATAAAACATACCGTTCAAAATGTAATGTAAATAAATTCATTAAATAAATATTTCAAAAATAAAAATTTTTGTTGTATAGCTTCAGAACGTTTATATTTTGCCTGGTGTCCATATAAATCTCTCATATGATGGATTTTCACATTTGGTAACAGTTAAGGAATTTCCATTCGGTTTTCTTGAATACCTTTTATTTTGTTAGTACTTACAATTAAAATTTTCTACACTGTATTGGTTACAGTTACAGCCAGGGGAGTAATCATGTAAGTAGGCCACTGTCACCATGATTTTCGTCTTGTTTTTTTTTCGAAAATGTTGCCAGCTCTCCAATATTTTTCAGAAGATTTTCCATTGCAATGCCTTAATAATTGGGAGAGGCGTAGATGATGGAAGAAAATAGACGTTTGTATGTTTTGTATAAACAAACTACATACAATAAACAGCAGCAAGCATGCAAAATGAAATAAAATTTATGTAGAATGTAGCTTTTTTTTTCCATCTGCATTCAACATACCAAAAAAAAAATGAAGTGTTAAGCCATAATATGATAAGTGAGTTGTATTGTTGACATGGTCATAATCAATTTACAGGAAATTTACATTTAATTTTATATAAAAAGCTTTTTTCAATCAAAATATGGAGTAATACTTCCAAAACATATTTAATTTTTACGCACATATTTGGCGAGTTATAACATTAAAAATGCTTC